TGGCAGCTGTCCACTCGTCACCATTTTGAAATAGGTTTATTTTGGCCAAACTACATCAAGAGGGAGGAACAGGAAGGTCAGGGAGTCACAGAAGGTGATAATCTGATTTTACAGACTCTGTACTTCAAAACTGTCAGACTTTCTAGTTGGAGTTGGTTTCTTATCATGTAACTCTTGATATCTGAAAACAAAATCAATAACATTGGCTCTACTTAGTTGTATTTTACACAACTGATCTCCAACTAGTCTTGCTCTATATCTCACTGTGTGTCATGTGATTCTCTTTGCATTTACTTTCCTCAACAGTCTTTACTGCTCGTCGACACAGTAAACAAAATGCTAATTTATTCTAGTTCATGCTCTTCTCCTACATACCTCTTCAGTGAGTGTTATTATTTGACTTTCCTCACCCTCTCACCAGCCTGTCGTCATACAAAGTGTGATGTGTAACTACACCTGTCAGAGAAACAGAGAACTATGTGGATTTGTCTGAACACGCTGAATTCATTCCCTGAGATGTTTACGTCTGAGCCACTCAGCCGTCTGATCAGCTCGCCTGAGTAATACGGCACAATTACGAATTGTACTAATACTGTCAAGGATTTATTCTTTCATCAGATATTTCCTCACCCAAATCAGGAGAGGCGGAATTTATTTCGGCTGAGTTCTTGATTACAATAAAATGGCACTAAACACTAAGAACTATATTTTGTAATAAGATTAGAGGTTTGATAGAAAAACGTGTTATACAACTCAGACTGAGGTTGTGAAACTTAAACTGGTACCCAAATCTCTGTGGGATTTATCAAGCTTAATTCAAGATCTAAGACATTTTAATTTGCATAGAAAATTGTCTCATTATCGCAACTGGAAAACGGAAGAAGAACATCACAGAAGGTTTGATCACAAGATGAGCAGCACACTAAACAATAACTAAATATGAAAACTTGTTGTCACTGAATGCCTCTCCATAACTAGGGATATTCACAATGACTAAAGGTGGACATAAAGGAGTGGAAAAAGTCACTTGAAACTTGGAAAAAGTCACTTGAAACATCCTTCAAGCAAATCCTAGAACTCCCTGACTATCCCTCTCCTAGAATACACCTCCACGTTCACAGCAATCAGTCACTACAGGGTTTTCTTTCTTTGCTGCAGCCTGGCTGAGGTGATCCTGGTGTTAGTGGTCAGCTGGAGCAGCTCAGTGACAACCGGCCTGTGGGAACTAACAAAGGATTTGAAGGTGACTGACTGAAACTCCCATGAAAAGAACCTGTTGCTTGAGTTGTAAAAGGAGAGCAAACACGCACACATACACACACACAGATACACACCACACACACCCTGACCGCCTACAGCCGGAGGCAGCAATCCGCTCTGCAGTCACACTGTAAATACTGCAGCAGGATCAGCGACAAACTCATTTCCAAGTCAGAGAAATTTATATTTTATAACAAGATTATGAGTGTGTCTGTTTACCACTTTACTGATTTAAGTATTTTTAGGATGTAGGACACGTGTTAGTCTTCACTTTAAAAAAACAACAACTGCAAAGTCCACATTTTTAACAGTGCACAATCTAAAATGCTTGCAGCCGCTTTGGTCAGTTCATGCTTTCAACGTCCCTGTGTCGCCAAGAGTCTATGGGATGGATATTTATCATCTCCCCAAGAGCCTGCACAAGGAACGTTAGTAATATACATAGTGTAATATGATGTGATATTTATGATGTGGTCTATTGTTTTCTTTTTTAATGTCTTCATATTAAATATTGAGTGAGCTTTTGAATTGAATTATTTCATAAGGCAGAAGACGAGGGACATTGCATTATCTGCAGTATCTGTGTGTGGTACTAGATGGGCTCTATGAGTGTTTTTTTTAGTAGAGGACTGCAGTTCCAGGCCGAGGAGGCGGTCGCTTGGACTATCGGCAGTTCGATGTTTGAAAACACACAGAACCAACATTAATGTTCAAATCTAAATGACTGAAAAAAAGAGTTCTGTGGTCGTTATTTCAGTTGTGTTTAAATGTAGGTTTTTGTGAATGTGTGAGGTGGTTTTCTGTGGTTTTGTGGCAGGGGGTTTAGCCAGCAACAGGTCACCATGACCGAGCCTTCTGTAGCCAAGAGCAGAGAGTAGGCTCAGTTTAACCTGAGCAGGTACTCTGTAGCTGTGTAGTGGTGGGTGTGGCATGTGCAAATTCACCTATGACAGGTTATTATTATTCGAGTCCCTGACTAACTACAGTGTTCAGATGTTTTAGGAAATGACTGAGCGTTTTTTGTAAAAGAAATTATAGGTTCGTGAGCTCTTTTTTGTTTTTTTTTTTCAAAGATTTACTTTACTTTACTTTTGCAGGGGTTGGAGCCACAAGATTAGTAAATCAATAAAAATTAATGGGCGACTATTTTTGTAGTCACATAATTGTTTTTTTTCAGCAGAAAAAGCCAAACATTTGTTGGATTCAGCTTCTCAAAAGCGGTACTGTTCTTCGTCATTTCTAAGACTAAACTGAATATCTTCAGGACACCCAAACCTGAAGATGTAAGAGAGAAATACACTGGCATATGGTGGCTGATAGTAAAAAGAATTTTAATTCTCTGATTCGAGGTCTCCACATTGTTTTACTGGAATGTTTGGACACACAAAACTCAGGTCATGTGATTGATACTTGTGTGTTTGCTGCTCTTTTTAAACAGAACAAAAGTCTAATGGTCAGATGTGGTTTAATAGCTCCTCCACCACGGTGACCTTTTGATCCTCCACACGGCAGGAGGCCGACCTCTGTCAAAAGCTCGTATTGTGTGGCTCTTTATTGCACTCAGCTCTTCTTTGTCTCAGCTGCTGAACGGCATGAGTGCTGGTATGTATGCATGTGTGTGTGTGCTGACAGAGGACAAACTGGGCTGAATGGATGCTCACTTTCTCACAACAGTAAATTCAACTCGAATAAAGACAGACTGAAGCTATAGAGACGCACGCTCACTGTCAGAGCTCCACAATGGGCCACCAAGTTAAATTTACACCATCTGGCCTAAAAGTAACACAATGGGGTATTTCTTTAAGGCCTGGCATCCTTTCAAAAGCTTCATTATCAAAATAAAACATAAAACCCGAGTGTCTTTACTTCACACTGAGTATAAATATATTATTCAGGGAAAATAAATCAGCAAATTCGGTGTCAGACGAGTAAGCAATTGCTTTCTTTGTTAGCATGAATAAAAATTCTCAATTTTTCAATAATTCAACATTCATAATAACTAAATCTTAAAAAGATAGAGACTGACCATGCAGACACCTGCACCTGAACCTTTGCTTTTTAAGTTAAAAAGTAATACACAGTTTTGTTAGGCTGTACAAACATGGGGGACATTCTTCTTTTCGAAGCAGGTTCAGTAGACCCCAAGCAGCCCATACATCTGGGACAGATGTGCAATGATAATGTTGATTCAACACCTGGAGAAATGAGTGTACCAGGGTGTTTGAACTTTGCAAAAAAGCAAACCTAATGTAGAAAAATATATAAAATAGCGTAACTTGTTCCTACATGCACAACTGTTAAGGTGCTTTTTCTTTACAAATATGCCAATTTATACACCAACATCCTAAAAACCCAATGTCGTTTAGTTGTATACTCAAAAGTTCACAAGTTGTTTTTCATGTAATTCTGGCGGTTTTTCCCTTTCTTTCATGACGCATGGGAACCCCATTCTTTCCAGTGTTTTATTTATAGGTGAGGAGAAAATGGAAGATTGAAATGATAACCATCCAACAACAGACACAAACTGTGGTTTAGCACAGCAGTATGATGGATTTGTCACCTGATGCTGCTTGTCCAAACTTTGTGGGAATTAAAACAGGCTCTTATCAAACTTGATCGTCATTTTATGGCTGATCTGTTACTGGTCATGCCTGTTTATTGCTTCATGATACACAGTGATGAATATGAATGCTTGGCTCAGTGCTGTGTCTGAGCATGTGCATAAATGCCGCCCAGCTGCCACTCAACAAATATGAAAGTCAGGAAAAAGGTAAACAAAGTCATAAGCACAGAGGTTTAACTAATCACTCTGTCAACATGCAGGCTGTTACTGAGCCAACACATACAACGTGTTGCTCTAATTAACCTCGACTATTGTTTCATGGACCATGTGTTTTATGCTTTCTTGCACGTTTAACTGAGCCTGATGCTGCAAAGTGCTTCCTCCTCTGTCAGACTACAGCTGATACAGGAAGAATCATTAAAATGATAAAGCAATATAAGCTGCTTAGGGACTACAAACCAAAGTCCAATACCATTTTGATACTAAAATGTTTTCATGCCACACAGACTAAAAAACAGTCAAGTAGCAAATGTAAATTCAATGTTAAAGGCTCAGGCAATGTTTAACATTTTAACATTTCTTTCTTTCAATAAATGTAAAAAGCTTTACTGGAAAGATCTGTTATATTCTAAAGAGTGTTATTTTAGTATCATCAACTTACACCCAGCCCTAAAGCTGATTTAAAGGCACAGTCAGTGGTTAATGTAAGGAAAAAGCTCCCTTTACAACCAAAAGTGTAAAGCACAACCCACTCAAACTCACATACAAGCCTTTACAATTGGGGCTTAAATTGTATTTTCAGCTAAGCTCAACCAAGAAAGACTCGATATCTTTATGTTGTCAGTTTAGATTAAACTATTTGCCCTTTGTGGCTACTTAAACAAAGTAAAAGTCAACACTCTCCCCAAGTACCCCCAGAAAATTCCCCCAGTTAGCTAGCTTTTAAATTGATAAGCTAGCTTGATAACCTAATAAACCTAATAGAAACAACAAAAACTAACACATGTACATGTACTATAATGACCTTAAAGCACTGTAATAAAATTGTACACATTGCAGAATCACAAGGAGGTTACTGCTTAGAAATAAACTTCAGAAATATTTCCTTTACAGAGCTACCTGCTAACAGCCGGTGACCCCTGGGACACCGTTAGGTCTCACTGGGCGGCAGCCTCACCTCTCATCCAGTCCACCACTTGTTGCGGGCTCCACTTGCTCACAGCCTCCATGCCTCCACCGGGCGGTAAGTTCAACTGTCTCCAAACCAATTAAGTCGTCAACCGGTGTTCAGCTCATGCTGCAGCACGGAGGAGCTCCGTTATCACCGGACAGAGACAGACGCGGTACGACCGACTCACCGGCCCGCCGTTCACTGACTAGTCTCGTGGAGAGCGGTTACAGCGCGTGGGGCCGGTGTCAAGTTACCAGGACGGTGGCCACGCCCCCCGATGGTTCTCCTCCAATCACATTAGAGCATGCTGATGCTGCCTCAAGTGCTGTGGGAACTAAAGCTGGCTTCATTAATCATGATGACGGAGACAATAATAATGATGATAATTAATTACATAAATGAAGTGATTTTATGATGCAGTTGTATTATAGAGGCCAGTTGCAAACTATTTAAATATGAAACTTATAAAATCAGATGACAATATATTTTGTTGCTTTATTTTTTTTTTTTAAATGCTGCTGTATTTGTAGAGGGAAAGTCCACCCATAGGCAAAACATCCAGAGTTTATTTATGGTTCAGTGAGATTCTGTTCACGTGAGATTTAATTTATAAAATTACAGTAATGTATGATACAATAAAACGTGATTTAATTGTTACTCAGCTACAGCTTGTCTTATTTTAGTAGTTATTTTATTGGTTCGAGAAGTCATGTTCTGTAATGCATCCATACACTCAATAATGCACTGCAGTAAATATCCTGCTGTGACATGAAATGAAATCTCCAATTAAAGTAAACTATCTTAACATGACAGAAAATAGTTTGACTTTAAGAAACAGATTCGACTTTTAGAGTAAAATCATGTTCAGCTGTGATGGAGTTCAAAATTCAACTGTGCAACAAATGATTTAACTGCAGCAGATAAACTGTGACTCTGTGTTTGATGGCTCGCCTGTCTGAGGTGGAGAAACGCTGTTGTTGACGGTTAAATACTGATCAATCGTTTGTCAGGCATAATTTATATTGTAAGTGATAGATGGGGTTAATATTGTGTTATGTTCTGTGCACCTCTCTCACTTAGGAGATGTTCATATTCATCCTGCTGCTGTCTGATACTGCAGGTATTTAAGCCTATTGAGGACTGGTGGGGTCTTGTTGACCCCAGACCATTTGGTTTAGGTGACAGGTATTGTTTTTTTATTTTTGAAGATTTTTTTTAAATATGAAAAGAGGGACATTTGTCATGCATTTGGAACCAAAAATACATCGACTTATCAGAAAATGTATTTAACATAGTCTTTAATGAATACCAACAAATATTTTGCACATTTTCTTTCTTGGCATCCAATGGACACCGAAAGACCTTCTACATATGGCAACATGAAAGTCCTGAACAGGGTTAATCAGCTCAGAGGAAGATTCCTCATTGTTAACACTTTTAGGTCTGTGTGCTGCCATCATTTAAAGGCACAAACTGTGTCTTTTGCTCCCTGAGATGTTTAAGGATGGCTGCACAGCTGTTACAGTGGTGCTTTGACACTGTCGATGCATTCACTGAACTTGGACATTGGAGTTTAAGTGAATGTTCTTAACCTATCAGATCTGGGGTTTCCACAAGGGTTATCTAAAAGGTTTCAGGGGGAGCCATTAACGCAAGTGACTTGAAAAATCAAATTATCAACCGACATTTAATAAAGTGAAAACAAATATACTTGTGTTAAGGTCAGTGGTTCCCATCCTGAGGGTTGGAACCCCACAAGGGGTCACAAGCAAGATCTGAGGGGTTTGCATGACAACTGAAGAAAGCAGAAAATCATATTTCTGCTGTATCAAATGAATTATTGTTTTCATAATTTCCCTCTGGCCCCTTCTTTCTTTCTAAGTATTAGACTTTAACTGGGGACAAAAGAAGCAGTCTTTAATCAAACTTTTCACACAAATCATGTGATGAAGGGTTGCAAGGAGATGTAGATTTGTATTCAGAGGTTGCTGATCAAAATGTTGGAAACCCTCAGAACTAAGTACAGGTAGAATAAATGGAGAAAAAGATGTGAAAAGATTTTTCAGAAAGAAATTGAGTAAATATGAAAATGCACATTTTTTTCAGTTTATGTAAGTGTTTGGTCACTGAGGGATAAAGGATTTCGATATAAGTGAAATGTTGTAGTCCTGGTTTTGCTAACCATACATTTTTATTTGAAACTAGGATTTTCAGTTATAATTGTATGTGATGCACAAATATGCATTTTTATGATATAAACAAACCAAATTCAGAACATTGAAACAAACCATCTTTTCCGTGACATAATTATAACGTTCCATGTTGTGTTTAGACCACTGCTGTCTATCATCTTGCGGGTTAAAGATGTGTCTCTATAATAATAATATACAACATAAAAATGAGTTGTCTGCAAATATCTAAAACTCACTGAATGCAAAGAGTTTATTTACTTTTGTCATTGTAGATTTTGACATTTAAAATGTCTGTTTTGGCCTCTGATCAGATCTTTGATGTGCTGAGCTCTGCAGCAGCTCTGTCATGTGTGCTGGGTGTGGACTTGTTAAGCTTTTTTAGCGTCTGCAGATGTTTCCCATGGGAAGAGCACTGCAAGCTGTGCTCACATGGGAGAGGGATCTGAACTGTGATTACTGACAAGACAAATGTCAGCTTGGAGAACAAACAGGGAGAAAATCTGCTTAAAAATTGGACTAAACCTAGATTCATCTTCTGAGCTGTAAAGAGAAATAATTAGGACTTTTCTGCCCAAACGAACAGTGACAGTCGTCCTCAAATGTATTCATACTCTTCCATTAAAGAAAAGGCAAAATTCACAATAGTCACTCAAATGACTAGAAACTGAAAAAAGTAATAACAAATAAAAAATTTGCTAAATTATAATTAAGTGAAATAAGACATTGCTTTTGAATTGTGCCTGAAAAGAATAATAATAATAATTAAAAAAAACAGTCCCAAAACCTTTTGATATTTGCACAATTTCTTTCTGTAAGATCCTAAAACATCTTTCTGAGTGTATATTTCATCTGTGCCTGGATCTTTCAGGTTTTTTAGTTTAGTTTAGTTTTGTTTTTACCAGCCAATAAGTCTTTATGACTCTTCATCTCCTGATTTGTCTGCCAGTTAGTTTAAAGGCTGTTTCTTTTCTCCCCAAAAATCCAATAATTCAAAAGAAATGAAGCGAAGCGAATAAAATTAATTAATTTGACACAGCATGAATACAATTTTCTGCGTTCCTCAGTTAACATGCAAACCCCTCAGATCTTTTTTTGTGACCCCTTGTGGGGTTCAAACCCACAGACTGGGAACCACTGACTTTTATTCACTTTAAATACTGAATATTTGTACTTTATAATGTCTACTAACAATTTCACTTAGAATGCTTGGCTAGTACATAAAAAAAACAAAACAAAGAAACATAATAATCTGAAACCTAATGTTATTGAACTTACCTATACTTTCTGGTGTTGCATTATAAATTTGTACCACCGAACACACCCATTTTCACAAATAAAAAAGCAGCATATTTAAAATATGATATGTCTGACAGCACCTGAATGCAGCCTTGTTTTGTGGGCGGGGCTCCAGCTGTGGAGTCTGATTAGGGGCCAAAAAATGGGGGAAAAAATCCTCTGAATCTTTCTTTAAAGACCTGTACTACAGAGTGGCAGGTAGGTTAAAAAACAAAAGATAAGGCCAGTGTTAAAGCTCAGTTTCACCAAAAACAGATAATTAATTTTTGTGCTGCCCAAAACCAAAAACCTTCCACAAACCTCCAGGAACTGTAATATGAATTTCAAGCAGTAAATGTAGTGTATTTTATCTAACAAGCCGCCCTTCCACCACATGACAGCAGCTTGTATGGCATCTTAGCTGTCTGCATGGAAATCCTTTAGTCAGTTGTTGTTTCTTGTATATTTTGGCGACAACACACCAGTTTGAAAGCTGCAAAACATCCCCAGAGTCACCATTACTCTCAGTCACATTCCTGTGAGACTTTGGATTGAAGTGATGATCTTGATCAAACCCCAAACCTGTTGCTTTCCTTGTACATGAATAAACTCGTGTCAAATTTCAAGGAAACACTGCCCTCTTTTGACAGAATGGAGGCCTAAAGGACTTGTCAGATAGATTATAAATGAACCAATCTGCCCTCTTTCTAACATAGTGATTCAACCAACAACAAAACCCTGTATTTGTTATTTTAAAGAGATGAGACGAAGGCCAAAAGCATTACCTTTAAAAAGAAAGTAGTGCTTGTAATTGTCAGATTGACAGAAATTCAAGCAGTTACTCAGGGTTTGTATGAGAACAGCCATCGATACATTAAACCGATCTTTTCACATTAAAACCTTCATAAAGCAATCACTGAGGGCTTGCAAAATGTTGCTCCTGACCTACATTTAAGGACAAAATCTGCTCCTGTATGTGACCTTTAACCCCTAGCTTGCATTGTGCTCCTGTCTGCGAGGTGTTTTCATCTCATCCTGCCTCTGAAACATTAAGAGCCAATCTCTCAGCCTCAGGATTCCTGTTTCAGGAGGGCTGAACCTTTGCAACCGAGCCTCGGCTGCAGCGCTGCTTTGGACAATAGATGCAGATTAAGGTGCCTGAGACCAAAACAATATACTTTATTATACACGCAGCAGATCAGGAAAAGGCCTGGCACAGTAGCTGTAAGTTCAGAAAGTCGCCACTTGTTCAGGGCTTTCCTTTTGATCGAAACCTGTGATAAGTGATAGAATGTGGTTTCATACATTCTGTATGAGGGATCGCTGCATAACATGGATAACAAATGTTTACAAAAGTTTTTATATTTTCTTTCATGATTGTATAACTGTTAACTTACAGCAAACACTCTGCATGGTTGCTGTTAGTTAACACAGTGTTATTAGCTGATTTTGGC